GGCGACGCCAGCGAAGGCGCGGCCTGGCGCCGGGCCCCCGAGGTGGTGCGCTCCGGAGGCCAGCCCGGCCCCCCTGCCCGAGGGAGTCGGGAGCGCGGAAATCCTGGCCCACGTGGTCTTCCCCGGGCAGCGCCCCCGCCGCCTCCGCACCCCCCCCCCCCACTCGGCCTGAAGGGTGCTGGCTGTGGTTCTCGCGCTAATTGGGAGTTCACCCCAATTCCGGTGTTGGATTGTTTTGCCATAGGTGCTCCTGCAGAACACGTGTGTACAGCCAAAAGCATAGATGAGTCTTACCAACTAGCACGATTTCTTTTCTCACGAGCAGAAAAGAAAAATCACTGCACCGCTGTTCTGCTCCGTTGTCCCTCTGCAGCAGTGATTGCTGCTGCCTTCAGCTGCCTGTTGAGGGAAGACTCATTCATTTATTCTTTGGAGTGTTTTGCTTTGTCTTCCTGTTACAGTTTCAAATAGAGAATTTGGTCTAAGGCTTTTAGATACCTCCTGCGCTTAAGTCCTTCCCGATGAAGTAAGGAGTCATTTTAAGATGTGCTGGTGGTCCAAGTTTGAGTGTTAACTTACTGAATGTGTTATTCTGCCCTCTTCACTTTAAATTTTTTTTTTATTTGATCCTGCCTATTTTGCTAGCTCAGAGCTTAAAGTTAAGTTTGCAAATGTTATCTTTTAAAAGTGGAATCCTGCATTTGGAACTGAAAGGAACAATGGAGATGGGTTCCTCCCCAGAGAGTAACTTGCCCTCAACACAACTATTAATGTAATAGCCAGGACCAGACCTCACAAATCTATCTCCCTCCTTACCCTAAAGAAAAAAGCGGGAGTAGCTGTTGAGAATGCCAGGAAACAATAGATACAGCTGCTTTGTTTAAAAGTGTTTGCAGACGAGCTTGCTGTTCTGTGTGTGCCTTTCCTGAGCGTTTCTGGGCGGTGCACCAGCTGGGAATCCCTGTTTTGGCCCTGGGAGGCAGCCTTGTACAGATGAAGGAGCCTGGGCTTGCCTGCAGGCTCTTCTTCCTGCCTCACTGTTTGAACTTATTAGAGTCACTTCATTTTCCAATTATGCATTTCAGGAGAGTGTTGTAAGCGTCTAAGGAGATGAAGCAGAATATAAATAGCTGAGCTTGCTCAGCAGCACACACGAGGTTCTAAGGGCTTTACATATATTATGTCATTCACAACTACACAGGGACATGGCTTCTGTTATTCTCTCCATTTTACAGATTAGGAAACTAAGGCCCAGAAAGATTAAGTAATTTCCCCAAGGTCATAAAGTTGTACTGCCTAGTGGAGCTAGGAAATGAACCCAGCCTCGGACTCCAGACCCTGCTTTCCTAACCATAGTGCCCGCCACATAACAGGTGCTGCTTAGAAAAGGAACTACAGGCCCAAGGTCCCAAGGACAGCAAGCCAAGACTTTATTGCAGTTTAAGCCCCTCCCAGAAAGGTGACTGTTAATCAGATTAGGAATTTCCTCATCAACACTAGTGAGGTTATCTACCTAGTACGACTCCTGCTGCTCCCAAAGAAAAGTGCACTTGTCTGAAAAAAACAATGATCCGTCCTTGTCTTACATCAGCAACTTTCTTGTCCTGCTCAGTTTCTGCCTATTAAAAACCTTGCATTTTTTTTTTTTTACAGCTTCTCAGAGCTCCCTTCTATTTGCTAGGTGGGATGCTGTTCAATCCTGAATTATTTAAAAAAAATTTTAAATTGATTTCAGAGAGGACTGGAGAGGGAGAGAGAGATAGAAACATCAATGATGAGAGAAAATCATTGATTGGCTGCCTCCTGCACGCCCCCCCCCCCCCCACTGGGGGTCGAGTCTGCAACCTGCGCATGTGCCCTTGACCAGAATCGAATCCTGGACCCTTCAGTCCACAGGCTGACGCTCTATCCACTGAACCAAACTGGCCAGGGCAATCCTGAATTATTTAATAGAGCCAATTAGATCTTCAAATTTACTCAGTTGAATTTTGCTTTTTAACAGTACTCAGTTAATATGAGTTGAATCTGAAGTAACCTGAAGAAGCTTCTCAGAGATTTATTGGGACAGATGTCTAATCGCCGCCTCAAACTCAAGGTGTCAAAGGTTGAATTCCTGGTTTGCTCTCCTCCCCTAATTGCCCCAGGCCTGCTCCTCGGGGTCCTCATCTCAGCGTCTGAGGTGCTCAGGCCAGAACCCTCAGTGCCAGCCTTGCTTCTGATCTTTCCCTCACACCCACAGCCACTCAGCCGGCGAATTCTGACCACTTCTCACTGGCTGTACCACTACATCTCTGGTACAGAGCTGCCATCATTCTATTACCTGGGTCATTGCAGTGGCCTCCTAACTAGTGCCCTTGCTTCTACCCTGATCCCTGACAGACTTCAACATAGAAGTCAGAGGGATCCTAACTTAAAACGTAATTTGCATCATTTCACTCTGCTCAGGACCCTCTAATGCAGTGGTTCTCAACCTTCTGGCTCTTTAAATACAGTTCCTCGTGTTGTGACCCAACCATAAAATTATTTTCGTTGCTACTTCAGAACTGTAATGTTGCTACTGTTATGCATCGTAATGTAAATATCTGATATGCAGGATGGTCTTAGGTGACTCCTGTGAAAGGGTCGTTCGACCGCGAAAGGGGTCGCAACCCACAGGTTGAGAACTTCTGCTCTAATGGCTCCCATCTCACTCTAAGAGCCTACGGAGTCTTACAGTTTCTACTCCTGTCCCCCGATCCTCCCTACCTCGATGCCTCATCTCTGCATTTGCCCCTGGCTTTCTTCATTCTGCTCTCTTGGCCTTGCTTTTCCTCAAACATGAGGCACAGCTCTGGTTTAAGTCCTTTGTGCTTCCCTTCCACCTAAAATGCTTCTGCTTCCTCACCTCCTTCAGGTCTCAGCTTAGATGTAACCGTGGTGAGCCTTTCCTTGGCTCCTCAGTTTAAAACTGCACTATGCCCCTCCCCTACCCCTAGCATCTAATTCCTTTCCTTGCTTTATTGTCCCGATAACACTTCATAACGCTTCAGAATAGCAAGAATACTGTTTGTTTTGCTTATTTATTTGCTGGCTGCCTCAGTTTCTTCATCTGTAATATGGAAGGAACATTGATAATAGTACTGAACTTGTGGGTTGTTTAGAGGATTAGATAAGTTACTATCTGTATTGCTTTTAGACCAATGTCCAGCATGGGGAGCATTATATCTGTGTTTATTTTATGAGCAGTGTGCTGGATAAAGATTACCTAAGAAAAAACCAAATACTTACTCTCTAGCAGAATGGTTACTGCTTTCAGTTCTTAGTTGCTCAGTAACCACAATTTCAGCACTGATGAATGATGCCCAGGGCCTCTGGTCTGAAATACTTCCCAGCACTAATAGGATATTCTGACTGCAAATTTAAAGCTTAGAGTTGAGGTTCAAAGATAGAACTCCCACGTCGACTATAATTTAAGTGTCATGCATCTCCCTTGGCTTTAAGGAACAAGTATAATGGCTCAGGAAGAATTTGAAAAGATTGCCTGGTTGCAGTGGCTCTGAGTTATGACTGCCCAGAGCCACACAGGTCTGGACTGTAGGTGATTAGGGCACAGGGCTGGGGAGCCGTGCTGACTTAACCCCACTTGACATGGTGCTACTTTAGTTAGCTGGTTTGTCCCAGAGTATCAGACCCACTGGCAGTCCATTACCTCCTTCCTCTCAAGCTTGTCATGAACAAGTTTGTCATGATTTGCTACTGGCAAGTGAGCACTTATTTCCAAAGGGAACATATTTTTCTCATCATGCTCCATTCATTTTTGAGAGCTGCTTATTATAACTATTTACTTTCCAAGCCTATGCTACAGACATCCACACACAAACACACCATTGGCTGCAGTTTGCCCAGAATGCATTGGATCCTTCTACTCCTAGCAACACCTACCTTGTTCTTGGCTCACTCATTCAGCAAATATTAATTAAGCACTTGTATATCTAAGTAGACCCTTCCTTGTCTTCGTGGAGCTTATGTTGTAGAAGTCTAGATCAAGACTCTGGCCTTATTTTTCCCAAATTGGTAGTCATATCGTCATGGAGTGCACCTTAAAGGCACTTGAATAATCTAATTCTAGTGAATCTATTGTAGAATGCCACTCTGGTACATCAGTGGAGTTGCTCCCAGCCAGCCAGACAAGCTAGCTTTCTGTAAGTCATAAATGTCAGGGTACCCAGGGTAAAATCAGCTTTTTCCTGGAACCAAATGAACTTTCTAGATATTATATTTCCCAGGTGAGTGACCTAATTCTCACTATGGTACATATGTTCTATTCTTTTCCATACCTGTATTTGCCTATAAGCACTAAAGGTATTTATCTCAGTTCAATTAGAGAGTTGGTGAATGAGGACATTTCAAAACAGTGGGAAAAAAGTCTTCCTTCCATGATATCATTCAGCTTTGACAATTGGGTATGAATTTAGTAGCTCTGAATCCTTTCATTTCTGTTAAGATGGAGTATTTGCTGGCATGCTAATTATATTTCTATACAGTGTTAAAATAACAGCCCTTCAGTGCGTACATAACCCCTATGTGTACAATATTAAAGAATTAGTTTTACTTAAATGACTATGGTAGAAGAGTTCTTGAAATTTTGGTGGTTGATGTACATTTTTAAATGCCTTAGGAATTAAAGTCTGTGTAGTGCCTTACGTATAAGCAGATGAGGGTGTGTTTGTAGCCTTCTGGAGAGAACAAGAGAAGCCAACATTTTTAAAAATGGAAATTTAGCCCTGGCTGGTTTGGCTCAGAGGATAGAGTGTCGGCCTGTGGACTGAAGGATCCCGGGTTCAATTCCGGTCAAGGGCACATGCCTGGGTTGTGGGCTCGATCCCCAGTAAGGGGCATACAGGAGGCAGCTGATCAATGATTCTCATCATTGATGTTTTTCTCTCTCTCTCCCTCTTCCTTCCTCTCTAAAATCAATAAAAATATATTTAAAAATAAAAATGGAAATTTGGAAACCCTTCTTTTCGTGAGTGTGAAGGAAAGAAAAAGAGGAAAAGATTCAGACAGGAATATTCCGTATTACTAGTAATCATTTTAGTGGCAGAGCAAGCTTGTAGATACAAGATGGTTATTTCCCTGATAATATTTAATCTTCAAGTGATAATTGATGCATATGAAGCCAGTTTCCATAGTCCCTAAAACAGGAATGTGCCAATATAAAGATATATTTTAAAGAGATTGGGACAATCAAATGAGCAATACTGATAGACTAACAGTCAGCAATACCATTAGAGTTATCCAGCCAGCCAGCCTGTCAGCCTTCTGGAAGCCATTGAAATGAAAGCTCCTAGGACAAATTAGTTTCTCCCAAGGGCCAGCAATGAAATTTAAAAATAAATTTTAAGCATAGTAAATATTTTGATCATCTGCTTTCTGTAAAGAAAAGTTGAGATTACTAGCCTGGTTTCCGGGTCCTAGCTGAACGCTTGCATATATTTATTTGCTAACGTGTAGAATTTGAAATCCCAAATCACCTCTCTTCTTTTTAAATTACTCTCCCTCCCCCCCTTTTTTTGGGACAGGACCTGTTTACACTGGGCCTGTAAACGCAATCATGGTCAGGTGGTCTCTTACTTGTTAAAATCAGGAGCCGACAAAGAGATTCTTACCACAAAAGGAGAAATGCCAGTCCAGTTAACATCAAGGAGAGAAATCAGAAAGATAATGGGAGGTGAGTCTGAGTTTTGGGGCAGCTTTTGATTTTGTCAAACTGATTTAAGACGGGTAGTATTTTTGGCTGTATTCTTTTTTTTTTTTTTGGCTGTATTCTTTATGCGATTCAAGCAACCAGTCTGCTTCTAAAAGCAAAGACTGTATGACTGTGCCAAGATAGTAATTCTATGTTGTTTCTGGGAAGGTAGGCATTATAAGTTTTTTAATCTGTAAAATTTAAGATGATAAAAACGGTAATCATAAACCTAATGAAATATTCTTTTTCTTGAAGAGGCACAGAACACTGACCGTGGAATTCTGTCATATACCAAAGCACACTAGGTTTCACAGGACACTCGTTTCTTGCCCATTTCTGAAGGACTATGTCTAGGTTCTGTGTTTTCCTCTTTTTCAGTGGAAGAAGATGATGATGGTGACAACCTCCCCGAGATGAAGAAGGAGTCAGACCTGCCCTTTGTTCCCAACTATTTGGCCAGTCCAGCTTTCCCTTTTATCTACACCCCCGTGGCAGAGGATTCGGCCCCGCTGCAGAATGGGGACCCCTCCACACCCCCTGCCACACCCCCTGCCTCACCCCCTGGAGGCGGCTCCCCTGCATTGCTCCCCCCTGGGGACCCTCCCCCACGGGGGGCCTTTCCGAGGGACCACACCTCTTTGGCGCTGGTGCAGAATGGGGATGTGTCTGCCCCCTCTGCTCTACTCAGAACACCAGAAAGCACAAAACCTGTTTGTCAGCCACCCGTGACTCAGAGTCGATCACTGTTCTCTTCCGTCCCGTCCAAGCCACCAGTGTCTCTGGAGCCTCAAAATGGGACATATGCAGGACCAGCGCCAGCGTTCCAGCCATTTTTCTTCACGGGAGCATTTCCTTTTAATATGCAAGGTAACTCCTCGTCAGCAGCCGCCTCTGCAAATGGGCAGGCAGTATCTGGAGCTCCAGAGCTTTCCTTCCTGGGTTTTTGGGGTGGAATGTATTTATGTGAAGTATAAATACAGACTTACAGAAAAGCTGCAACACTAGTAGACTAGTAAGGAGCTCTCTTTCCTCAAATTGTTTGCCTTTTGCCCCTTTACCCTGAACTGTTTAAGTGTGTATTTCCTAAGAATAAGGCTAGTCCGTTACATAATTAGACACAACACAATGATCAAATTTAGGAAATGTAACCTTGATATAGAATACTGTTTTCTAATCCATAGTCCATACTTAAATTTTGTCAGTTATCTCAACAATGCCCTTCATAGCCATCCTCACTCCCTCCACTTCTGCCCCTGCCCCTGATCACCCATAACAGTTAGTTTTCATGTTGGTTTAGTCTCCTTTAATCTGGAACATTTCCAGCCTTTCTCTGTCATTGTGGACCTCAATATTTTTAAAGAGTTCAGGCCAATTATTTTGAAGAATATGATTTCCTGTCATTGTCTATTTACTAGTTGGTATTCTACTGTAAAGAAGGGCTTTCTTTTCTCCTCCATTTATATCAGTATGAATGCAGGTTCTTATTCTATTCATTGGGTTATAATCCGTTGCTGTTACTTTGATGTTCAAATTATGTCACATTTGCCCAGAGGGCGCTTCTTTAAGCCAGTTCTGTGTCCCTCGGACATGGCACATCCTTCCTGGACCACTACCTTACTCTCTTGTACAGCAAGATGTTTACTCCCAAAGCCAAGGCTCCTCCCTTGGTAAGGTGCACTGTACTCAAATCATAATTATACTTTAATTTTTATTAGTAGCTTTTTGCCCTTTTACTGCACTTAATACAAGGAATTTCATATTTCATAAATACCTTTAGATCCACAATTGTTAAATCTTTTTAGAGTAATTCATGTACCATATCTTGCCTGTGCCTTCTTTTCCCCTCCCTTCTCCTTCCCTGCTTATATGTAGTTTAACTCCCAAACCCATTCTTAAGCCTTTACCTTCTTAGTTCCAGCAGCAGAAATAAATGATCCTCTGTACAGTTGTGATGGTTGTCCCCTCCCCAGCCCACCTCCACGCCCCCTTTTACTTTAGAAGCACACACAGGCTTAGGTGCAGGAAACTGCCAGCAGAGCCAGAACTGGGCTTGAGCAAATCTTGCTGGTGCCTAGCTTTTCCTCATTGGGTGGCACAAGCATCTTCTGGAAAAGATCTTAAATTACTTAGGCTGATTATGCCAGAACCATCCATTAACATTTCTCCCTCTTTTTTTTCTAGAGCTGGTGCTCAAGGTGAGGATTCAAAACCCATCTCTTCGAGAAAATGATTTCATTGAAATTGAACTAGACCGACAGGAGCTCACCTACCAAGAATTGCTCAGAGTGAGTTGCTGTGAGCTGGGTGTTAATCCAGATCAAGTGGAGAAGATCAGAAAGTTACCCAATACTCTGGTCAGAAAGGTAAGGCACGGCCTGCTAAGCCCGAGTGGTTAGTTGCTTTCTGCATTTGGAAAATACCCAGTTTCCTCCTTGGTTATGAGTCATAGTTGAAGAAATGAAGATAATAGAAAAGGAGAGAAGGGTTGTTTTCCAAATATAATCATTGAGCTTTCTTTCTCTCTACTGGGTCTATAGGGACATTGGCCTTTCTGATTTTTGTTTGTTTCTTTGTTTTGTGGCCTTTTTGAAAGTTGTAGGATCCCAGAGAGAATATTCTGACGTACCATTCACGTTTCCATTCAGTTGTTTCTGTGTGGCTCTATAAGGATTATCTTAGTGCACCATCAGAATGAGGTTAAATTACAGGGCAAATCCACATGGATGCATGTGTGGTCCTCCCAACATCTCTGGGTTTTTTGAGCATCAGGCTCTGCTTCTCAGAGCACGTGAGTAAAACTGATTCCTGCATTGCCTCTCCCTTCAAGGTGTGCTCATCCGATAGCAGCTGCGGCTAAGGGCTTCCGCCCTTCCAACCAGCCCTCGCCCCTGGGCCTTTCCTGCACTGTCACTGACAGCCTGCCCCAGGGATTTTTGTTTTTGTTTCTGTTTTTGTTTTTAGGCTTTAAAATGAGCCAAGAAACTGATATCAGTTCAACACAGCATACCATATAGAAAGAGACAAGTGGCTCCTCTTAATCTGATTAACCTATTTTTGTTTTAGGACAAAGATGTTGCTCGACTCCAAGATTTCCAAGAGCTGGAACTGGTTCTAACAATAAGTGAAAATAATTTTCTGTTCAGAAATGCTGCATCCACACTGACAGAAAGGCCTTGCTACAACAGGAGAGCTTCAAAACTGACTTACTAATGCCGCAGGGACTTTTGTCACTGAGTATTGTGACAGCGCGTCACCTCTGGGCCAAGGACAAGCCATTGATCTCAATGCCTTGGATGCCGGAGGGCCGCTGGTGCCACTGAGTAGTGTACACTAACATTGTCCTGCCCAGGTGGGGAGCCCCTGACCCTCAAGCAGTGGTGCCACTCTTCCAAGCCTCTTGGTGCACAATAAACCGATTGCTCAACGCTGTGAACAGTGAAGTGGTCTGGAGAGGCAGGAGCCGGCGGTTCCATATCCAGTGTGTTTTACGTGCAGCATGTAAGAGAGCGGTCCACAGTGCTGAGAGAGTGAAGCCTATTTCTAGCCACTCCTGTTGACAGTGCACCTGAAGGGCCAGGATGCACTCGGCTTGGTGTTGCACGCTCACAACTGTCCTCAAATGTGAACCGACTCGAGGAAAACGGGAAAGCACAGGTGCTGGACAGATGGGTTTTAGTGTGGCTTGTGGCTGTGAGGTTCCATATAACATATTTATAATGTTACTCAGGTGAAAAGTATTTAAGGTTACAGTTACCTAATTGTAAATATGCTGTTAACCAAAAGAGCTTCCCCTCCCCCACTTTTCCCTTTGTAAACACTCATGACTCCTCTGTCTCCAGTCGGCCATTGCCAAGCCCTAGACAAGCACCTCTGCATTCACTTCCCTTTGTGGTCACTAGAGGGCTCTCCGATGCCTTCCAAAAGAGCAACCGCGGTTTTTGTTTTGTTTTGTTTTTTTTAACTGAAGTGATTCCTGCCATCTTCGTGTTTAATTGCACCATATGAGAAGAGCACAAACATTGCCTGTCCATGTTCTCTACTTTCATTTTCCACTAGAAATGAAAAGCAATTTTTGAGACTGAATCTGTTGCTGTTTTAAAGGTTATTGTAGGAAACTGAGCTAAAGGAGTTAGGATATTTATTTTTGTATAAAAGATAAAGATTATTTTGAAATTATTAGGATTTTTACACAACTCTGAAATCTGTTGCTTTTGTAAACAAATTGTTTTATCTTAGGGATCTCCCATAACCCCCACCAATCCAGTACCCCCCAAAAAGGCAATTGCAAGTCTACCAGGCTTTGTTCTGAAAAATGAAAAACAAAAAGTACACACCTGATTAAACTCTTGGACATGGCATAATAATTTTTAGAAGAATGCATTCAAGGATTCTTTTCCTTCAGTGTCATTAATGTGAACAGAAAGCCACTGTCTTGTTGAACAAACAGCTTAGCTTCAGATGTGAGAACGAGCACATAGACAGGAGAGCAGGGGTTTGAAGCCAGCTGTTGAAGGGCACCCTGCTGTCCTAAGAAGCTTTTCCCCATAGTGCCTATAGTTTCCAAAGAAACTTCACTTCCTGTGTTAACTTTATTGGGTGGAGAGAGAATGTGCAGAAGATGTCGGGGGAAGAGAATGCGGTGCTAAGATGACGGCCTCCTGCTGCTGCCCAAATGCTGAGCTGAGGTGGAGGTGTTCGCAAGGCCAGCTTCACGGAGTCACCGTTCAGGGACCGAATGTGTTTCAGCACTTGCTGATGGTGACTTACCCTTGTACAGTGTTTGCATGGCAGAGTAAAGGTTACTTATTACTCCCTCTCTCTGAGGTACTTTAAAGAAGAAACCTCCCTTGTGTTGCAAACCAATCAGAAGCTAGTTTATCTAGACATACTAACCTCTCTCCCCCTTTCCTTTAAAAAAAGTTTAATGATAAGATTAGTTCTATCCTGAAAGAAAGAAATTCAGTATTAACTCATGTCTAAGTCACTGGGGTTAAAGCTTCCAGCCACCCAGATCAGTTAGCGATTCAGAAGCAGTGGAGGCCTCGCTTGGGGGTGACCTACAGAGGAGCAGCTCCGGGCTTTTCCAGGGCTTAGGAACAGAGGGAGCCAGGGGCTGGCGTCTCAGGTGAGAGATGGGCCCTACACGGGTCTCTTCTATAAAGTCCTCTGTGGTCCAGTGACCTCTATGTATGGCCGTAGAATAAGACTGCACAGTTGCTGGTAGGTGAGTCTAAAGTCTTAATCTATGCATTCAGAGAAATATTTTTATATGCTCTGTGTAATTTATAACAAAGGGTTTTTCTTTTTAGCTCTGTTACTGTGAATTCCCCCCTCCTCCACTGCATATTTAAAGCATGTGTTCATACTGTGGGCAAACATTCACTGAAGATAATTTTCTTTGTGCATTGCTGACTGTTCAAATATAACAAGTATTAAAATTAAATATTAACTGACCAAGCCCATATTCTTTCATTTTGGCTTCCTAAACAGCACTTTACTTCTACTCATAGGGGGTTTAAATGGTTGGACAGTCCCAGGGACAAGACGCTGTGGAGGAAGCATGGGAGGGACCGCTCCTACCTGAGCCTCCTGCATCCTGCTGCTGTGGTGCTCACGCCCTGGCAGTGGCGCCTGGAGACAGATATCTTGTGCGGAGTCTTCCCTCCCAGTTCTCAGCAGTCAGCTTCATTTCCCCGGAGTAGCTGAGCCAGCTAGATGGAGGTCATCCTATTAACTACATTTTTTGATTATTCTATTTACTTCACACAACTGAGCCTCTCCTTCGGGCTGTCAGCACCTGTCTTGGCCTCAATGAGCTCAGAAGCAAACTCCCTAGACAGGAGAGGAAAATACAGCTTTACACCTTCATATCTTCAGCTGAGAACGATGCTGAATGAACCTGCATTTCTGTAGGTTTAGGGCAGCCAGAGCCTCACAAAGCAGACGTCAGGCCAAATTGATCTAATAAATCAGGGCGCATAGCAGAGACCTTTTCTTAGCACCAAGCAGAGGAAGAATAATATGGGCATTTGTGCTTTCATACTTGCTTTATCACAAGGATGGAAGTCTTCTTGCATACACTCATAAACATCCTGAGCCAAAAGAGCCTGCCAAAAAAAAATTGTGGTTAACCTTTAACAAATGGTCCTGTAGCACAGGCTGCCCCAAGGCACAGAGCAAAACCAGATCAAAGGAGGCCTCTCCACACCTCCTGCAAACCATTTAGGGTGGGGGGAGAAGACAAACCGTCACCCACAACCAGTCACATCTTACCAAGGATGAAGACTGCTGAAATGAAAGAGGAGACCAGGAAACTTAGTAACAGAGAGAAGAGATCCATTCCAAATAGAAGGTCTTGTGCAGGTAAACTGACCCACAGAAAAAAACGGATGGTTTGCTCAAGAAAGCAAAACCCACCCCTCGTCTCCTTTACCAGCCAGGGACCGGCAGGGCTGCCTGCGCTCCTCCCACATTCAGCTTCAGCCCGACTGAGGAAGACGGATGGCTCCGAGCCGCACTGGCCATGGAGACCTGTCTGGAACAGCCTTCTAAAGGAGCGAGGAAATGAAGTGCCAGGCACTTTGCCGCCCCTAGAGAAGCGGGCTTACAGGTCTGAGGGATGACATAAACGCGGAGGTGTTCCCAGCAGCTGTCCCAAGAGGCCTCAGGTCAGATTTCAGGGACTTCATTTCTCACCTTTTTATAGTATCTGCACAGCAGAACGGGAACTTCTGGCAATTTCCCAGTGAATTTTGGCTGTGAAGACAATATTTCCAGCCCAAAGCTCTTGGGTCTGAAGTCTTCAGATAATTCCAGCCATGTAGATGTATACTGAAGTCCACCTCCGCCTCTCCCCCTTCCTCCCGCCTCCTTCCTCCTTCCGAGGCCCTAACCCCCACCCCGGCGACCAGGCGGAGACAGCCCTCCCCGAGATGCGTGTTAGTGACCACGCAGCTTCATTTCAGCACTGCTCCATTTTTAATGGATTCAGGCCAGCACTCCAGAGTACAGGACTCAGTTCTTAGGGACGGCCTGACCTGGCAAGCTTCTGTTTCAGGAGGAAAAAGCTTTATTTTTTTACAAAAAGACTTCAGAATAGAAACTATGAAAAGTCATCCAGGGGTAGGGAGGTTGCTCCATGAAGTGATTGCAAGCAGTGTCGTGGGGACAGAACAGGAGGCTGGGAATCAGGAGATCCGGGGACTAGTCTGGGCTCTGCCTCAAACCATCTGTGACCTTGGGCGCATCAGGCACCCCCGGAGCCTCGCTTCCTCATCTAAAGCATTTCGCACGCTTATCCCCCGGAGCGCTTCACAGGAGCAAAAGTCTAACAAATGCCCCCGGCTACCAGGTTTATTCTGCAGACAGAGGTGGTGTCCTTTTCCTTTCTGAAGAAAACCAGGTCAGCCAGGAGGAAATCCCAGGAATCTATGTTAGGCAAGACCAGCATCTCTGGCCATCCCATAGAAGATGCCTCTGGCTGCGATGAGGTTGGTTGGAGAATCAAATTCAGCGACTGTCCCTTTGTCCAGCACCAGGACCCTGGCCAAAAAAAAGAAGCGGTCAGGTCTCCGTCAGCCCAGACCTGGCCCCGTAGCCCGACCCTGCCCTTCTGGGTACTGCTCAGGCCCTGCAGTGACATGCCAACCCTCCCACTTCAGTCAGCCCACCCAGCACAGCCGCTGCGCCCCCTGTGCACACTTGCAAGGCTGGCTATTTTAGCCGCTCCGTTTGCTCTCCTGGCAGATGAGGCGGTTTCTGGGATCAAACACAAGGTTCCTATTCATCTCTGTGGGCCGGGGCTCCGAAAACCTTCCCTAATGAGCCTTTCTCCTGGCCAGGGTCACAGGACTGTGCGTGGGGGAGCCACAGGCCTGTGCGCTGGGCCCTGTGTGCTTCCATCTGCTTTGTGCCAACTCACAAAGGCACACGGCGGGAAACCGGGCTGCAGCGAGCCCTGACACTGGAATCTGGGGCTGTGGCTGCAAACCTGGCTGCTGCTGCTGGGTGGATCTCCCCCACCCACACACACACAGTCAGACCTCGGCCTGGGGTAGGTAATCACCGGGTGCACCTGGTACAGGGCCCACAGGCTGGCTCCCAGGGTGAGGCAGGAGTGGGAAGGGCTCTCCCAAGCCTGGGGAGATGCCCCTGGGTGGGAGGGTGTAGAACACACTCTGTTTCCCCACCTATGGGACGCCCAGAACATGTCCTGGGAAGGAGTGTGTCTGGGGACATCACTGCCACTTCCCATACGGGAGCCCTGGAGACTGCCCTCTCCCTTCTCATTACATGTAGGGTATTGGGATGCTTTCCCCTGGTCCTAGAAGTGCAGCAGAGCAAGGCCTGTCCCTCTCTGCCCTCATCTTGGTTCCACCGTCTTCTTTGCTCTTTGCAGGTCAGCCTCATGTGCCTTCCTACCTCAGGGCCTTAGCACGTGTTGTATCCTTGGCCTGGCATTTTCAGCATCCTCCCTCTCCCATCTCCTCCCCCACCTCCCAACTCCTACTCATCCATTAGGGCCTGGCTGGGGCTTCCCTTCCTTAGGAGAGAGAGTCCTGGCTGCCCTGGGGAAATGGGCTTCCTTGCGCCCCGACCCCACGGACCCCTGCTGCCTTCCCGCAGGGTCTAATTACATGGACAGTCGCATGGGTATTCGATTAATTTCTGTCAGCCCCACTACCACTCCCAAGGTCAGTTTGAGCCTTCTCCCCGCAGAGCTGCTGGTGAAACCATTCTCATTTGGGCCCGAAAAACAGACTCGCTCAGCCCAGCCCTGTCCCTTATCTGGATCCAGGGCCCAGCACTTCCTGCCCACCCTCCCTTCTCTTCTCCAGTGGGGTCCTGGATGGAGTGGGGAGTAGGGTGGGACAGGGATGGAACAGACAGCGTAGGGCATTCTCAGCTTGGTGCCCAGGCGCCTGGGGGTGTGTGGGGACACTTCTGACACAGGGACGACAGCTGCCCACGGCCCGTCCATGGCACCGTCTCCCCCTGCCCATGCCCTGTGGGTGTTTATTTTGTGAATGAAGGTCTGGTGGTGTACTCGCACCCTCCTCCTTCACCATAGATCTGTGGCCGGGTCCTGCCTCCCCGTCTGCATTCTGAGCTCCCAGGCCTCCAAGGGGCCAGCCTGCTGGGCCAGCACGGCTCACTCCCATGAGGCGTCTGAGTCACCCGGCCCCTCCCCTCGTTCTCAGCACCGCCCTCTGACATTGGGCACAATGAGGGAATAGGTCACGGTCTTTCTTTTTGGCCGAGTGAGCTGCCTCTCCAAAGAAGCCATAGATTCCAAGGACAAGGCCTCCTTCCTAATCCTCCGAGGAAGTGGCCCTCGGGAGAACTCCAGTAAGGAGCTGGGGAGGAACCGGACATTTCCCAGGATCGCCTGTCACTGGCTCTGACTGAGGGACTGAGGTTCAGGAAGGTTCATCCAATTGCCCAAGGTCACGCCTCTCTCCCGCATCCAGATAACCTTCCCACTGGCCCAGGCGACCCCACCAGCCCCTCCCTGCTTGGCGCCCCACCTGGTGTAGTCCATGATGGTGTTCAGCCGGTGCGCGATGGTCAGCACCGTGCAGCTCTCGAACTGGGTGCGGATGGTGGCCTGGATGAGGTCGTCCGTCTCCAGATCGATGGCGGCCGTGGCCTCGTCTAAAACCAGGATTCGGCTCTTGCGAAGAAGGGCTCGGGCCAGGCACACAAGCTGCCGCTGACCCACACTGGACATGGGGAAGGCAGACATCACCAACTGGGGACCCCCAACCTGCCCCCAGGCCTCACTCTCTGAACGGTTTCTGTCTCCTCTCCTTCCCAATGGCCCAGGACTAACCTCTTTCATTTCTACCTCAACCCTGACCTCCTGGACCGGGAGTCGGTGTCGAGGTCTGGATACCAGAGGATTAATGTGGGGCCTCGAGGATAGAGCCAGTGCTCAACAACCCTAAAATCTCCAGCTGTCTCTGGCACCTGGCCACTTCTTTCTTTGCCTTCTTCCTCCTCCTTACTCCTCAACTAGTGCCATGATGTTTCTCTGCTTCATTCTATCAGTCATTTACACCTTAGTGAGAAATACTTAAATGACTCTCTCCGGATATTTCCACACAGATGTCATCTTGCTGAACCTAATATCACACAATTCAGATAGCCTCTCCTGCCCCCATGGGAAATATAGGCCAGGGCTGTGGGAACGAGGAAGGAGAAGGGCAGGGAAGGACCTGGGGGACTCCCCATGTCTGGTTACTGGGGAGATGGAGGAAGGGCAGGACGCATACCTTCAACCTCTTCCCTTGGAAGCCAGAGCTAGTGAACAAAGCGAGGCTGTGTTCCCAACCACAGAGGCTGCAGCAACCCCACACCCAAGGACAAATACCTCAGCCCTGCCCAAAGGGGTGAGTCACCACAGCCCAAGTGAAGGCCAGGCTCTCTCCCTGGCCCATTCCCACAACTAATGAAGG